TCTCAGATGTTAAGTTAAAATGAAAAAAAATCAAATTTTTGAAAGTCTTAAAAAGATTTACAGGAAACAGATGAAAATTATTAACTAATAAAAAAAATAAATGTTAATGTGTTATTAATAAATGACATAACATAACTTTGTCATTGGAAATATAAACTTCCTCCATAACCATTATTTATAAAGGAAAAATTATTTGTCATTTTAAATGAGATAACTTTGTGTCATTTTTAATTAAGCTACGTCATTTTTAATTAAACCGTGTTGATATGACAAGTAGAATTCTGTTAGAGCTAGAGTTGTTCTATAATTTCACAAATATGATTTCTTCAAACCAAAGCCTATTATACTGTGAAAAAGGGAAAATGAAAAGGAGGAGGAAGGAAATGAAATGTCAATAATCTTCCTAATACTAATTATGAATTTGGTAATATATTAGTCAATCAATTTGGTTATAAAATAATAGTTATAATTACATCAATAATCTAATTTATAAATACATCGAAAAATATAATATCTATCACTAATTCATAAATAAAATTTATTTTTTAAATTATTTTTTGACGAATGCACATGCATACTTCTTTCAACGATGTATGTTTTAATGCACCGTAGAAATAATAAGTCAACAACAATCAACATAAGTCACCATTATTCACCAGGGTTATCAATATTTCTCTAATCAGTAACTTTCTCAACATTTCTTTTACATTTATTTTTTATTAATATCTCAATTCCGTCAAAAGTCCACAAATGTAATTGCTTTTACAATTTTTTTTAAAGGTTTTCGACAGAATCGCAATTCTGTCGAAAATATTCTATCGAAAAGTCCACAAACGTAATTTATTTTTTAATGGTTTTCGACGGAATTTAATTTTCGTCGAAAAACCCACAAATATATTTTCTTTTTCATTTATTTTTTTTCACAAGTTTTCGATGGAATTCATTTTTCGTCAAATTTTTTTGGCAGAATCTGAATTTCGTCGAAAAGCCCACAAATATAATTTCTTTTTCATTTATTTTTTTCAAAAGTTTTCGACGGAATCTGAATTCCGTCCAAAAACCCACAAATATATTTTCTTTTTAATTTATTTTTTCAAAAGTTTTCGACGGAATTCGTTTTCTGTCAAAAACTTTCGACAGAATCTAAATTTCGTTGAAAAGCCCACAAATATAATTTCTTTTTCATTTATTTTTTCAAAAGTTTTCGACGAAATTGATATTCCGTCAAAAAATTTTGACAAAATTTGAATTTCGTTGAAAAGCCCACAAATATAATTTGTTTTTCATTTATTTTTTTCAAACATTTTCGTCGGAATCTGAATTCCGTCGAAAAACCCACAAATATATTTTATTTTTCATTTATGTTTTCAAAAGTTTTCGACGAAATCTGAATTTCGTAGAAAAGCCCACAAATATATTTTCTTTTTCATTTATTTTTTTCAAAAGTTTTTTGACGGAATTCATTTTCCGTCAAAAATTTCGACAGAATCTAAATTTCGTCGAAATTTTTTGACGAAAAATAGATTCCGTGGAAAATTCTGTCAGTAATCTCAACGGAAGTTTTTTCGTCGAAAAATTTCGTCGATAATAAAGACTTGTTTAATAAATAGAACGAGCTCAAGCTTTAAAAAAAATTATTTAGCAAACAAGCCCAAACCTGATTTAATGAGGCTTGGTTTGAAAGCCCATGAGCTGACCTGATATATTATTATAATAAATAATATATTTTTATGTCACTGAATCAGTAACCCTACTTTTTTAACTCTATTTTTTTTATTATTGTCTACTGACATTCTCTCACGGTCATAGTTTCACAAACAAGTTATCTGACTATTGATCTTTCCTTTTCCCCCTCGGTCACTCACATTTTCACGGCTTTACCTAGGGGTCTAAAGATGTAAATTATATGTGGACTAAGAGAGTTCTATAATTGTTTTTTCTCTGACAAGGAATTATAGTCTCAACATTTGGACATATGTGAGTTTGGAAAAAATACATTTTATAATTATAAATGAGCCAAGACAAGCTCAAAATATTTTTCATAGGCTTGACTCGTTTAAGCTAAAACTTGACTTGACCCAGCTCATTTACACCCCTAAAGGAATGGATTAAAATAAAAATTTATTATATTTAGAGGGTTGAAATTAAAAATCGATGTAGAATAATTAAATATTGAGTTTAATATTTTTGCTTTTGCTGTAAAAAAAATTTGCTGTCACTCTCACATAAAAATGAGCGGGTTCGATTATATTCTATTAATATTTTCTCTCTCTTCTCACTATGATAAGATCCATTCACTCTTACGTGAATGTGAATGAAAATTTTTTATACAATAAAAGTAAAAATATTTAGTTTGACACTTATTCATAATCATTACAACAATAAGAAACTCTACCCTTGTGCATAATTTTTTCCCCCCGTAATAATACAATTTCTTTTACTCAAAATACGTCTTTAAGCAACTTATTGACAGAGAATCCATTAACTTGGCTCACAATGACCATCTTCTAGGTTGAGTGATGGTGGTTCTATGAGTTTCGTGGCACAGGGGAAGGCAATACAGATCGAGTTCATGACGGTGGTGGTGGTCTCTACCGCATAGTCATAGAGATTATTAATTTGTTAAGTTTTGCAAACTGTGTGTAAAGGTTGTGAGTTGTGACCCAACACTCTTAAGATGCGATTTGTCTCAAGTGGGTGGTTATGATTTGTGAAGATTTGGTGGTTTACTTGGAGATTTGATGAATATGGTTCTGTGTGAGTAGACTTGGTATTATATATTTTTATTGTTTAAGTTGCATTTTATATTATAAGAATATTGTAATTATAGTAATTTTGATGTACTAAAAAAAAAGGTATAGTAATTTTGGAAGCTTAGAGATAAGTTAAAGGCTGATCGCTTCGTGTTTCAAGGTGATAAATTATGGGTCAATGAGATTTTTGGTTTAAAGAAAATCTTTTTAAAGATAGGATTTGTAAATTGAAGAAAATGCGTGTAAGGATAGATTTTTTTTTTTCCACATCAACTCTAATTACTGTTAGAGAGATAAAATGATATAATTAATTAAATCTCATCCAACACCTTAAGATTTTAGGTTGAATTGAATCTTATCATGGTATTAGAGCAATGACATAAAGTAGACAAAAAAAGGCATGTGCCATATCCACACTTTAAGTCCAAAATGTCCTTGCGTGAGAGTGTGTGTTAGGGAGATAAAATGATACAAAAATAATTAATTAAGTCTCATTCAATGCCTTAAGGTTTTGGGTTGAAGTGATTTTTATCAATTACGTCTTTGAGGCTAGTCGACTCTCGGATATCTCTATAGTTCCAACTCTTTGAGCTAGTTATGAGACTAATCATGAGTTTGGACTTAATCACAGCTAAAACTCTTTATCTTTTTCCAAGAATATATTTGGTAAGGAATCAATCATATGTTTTTTTCTTATTCTATTTAGCCTGTGTTGCTAATAGTGATGTAAATGGGCTACGCCGGCCTACGAGGGTCTATGATCTAGCTTATATTAAGTTAGATTTGGCTTATTATAAATAATAAAATAGAATAGACCTAAAATTTTTAAAAAACCTATTTAGAAAATAAGTCATATGCTTTTTTTGTATATGCCGGGCCTACAGGCCGCCTATATTATATTATTTATTTTAAATAAAATTATTATTTTAATAATTTTGAATAATAAAGTATATTATTTTAATTATTCTTTTAATTGTGAAATATTTAACAAGCTTAAACAGGCTTAGGGGACATATAATTTGGAGACTATACAAGCTAATATACAAGAAAAGACCCAATATTTTTTATACAAACCTAATCTATTTAAAGTAAAATCTAATCTATTTACACCGCCAATTGAGCTACATGTATTTGATAGGATAACTTAACCAGGACATAACTTTTAAATTCTAGGCAATTGATGGCCCATAACTCCAATGGAGTCATTTATAAAATTTAAAAAACAAAAAGTCAAAACTTTGAATTATTAAATGCATAGGGATAAAATCAAATTTAAACCTGTCTAGAAACTAAAACAGATGGAAAGAGATTGACGTTACTTTTTAGGTTGAAGTGAACTAATTGGAGACATGTAAGAAATAGGCAGAAGCTTTTTGTCAACAGGTCCTTGTGTAGTTGAAACACTTGTCCCCAATGAAAAGAAAGGAGAAAAATCAAATGACCATTATGATGGATGCATATGCAATTCTCATTTTCCATATCTTACTTAATTGCTAATCAATGAAACCGAGGGTTTCCAAAATAGTTTTAATTCATTTTCCCAAAAGAAACGTTAGAAAAAGAAGGTAAAGAGAGAGAAAGAAAAAAAGTTTAATTGTGCAACAAGAGAGTCAGAGTTGTGTAAGTAAAATAAAATAAAATATATTTACAAATTTTTTTATTTATAAATTATGCTATATCTTATTAGTGAAACACTTTTGAGTAGAGCCTCACCAGTAATACACAGTGTAATTTATAAATTTGTAAAAAAAAATTTGTTAATATAATCATGAGAAAAATATTTCTGCAGTTACTGTAGAAAGTTATCTGCATTTACTTTCAAAACGACATCGTTTTAAAATTGAAAGATTAAAAAATTATGATTATAAAGATTGTAATAACCCTGAAATAAATTAAAATTACAAAAATATCATGATCTCCGTCCTAAAACGACGTCGTATTGAACTTATTGTAGATAACTGCTGAAAAAACAAATCATATAATCATACTCAAAAAAGAAAAGGCTTCTATTGAATATTTAATATTATTTTTGAGAGAAATTTAAATATTTTTATTTCTAATTCACCTTAAATTTATAATAGGTTTAAAGAGTGAAGATTGTAAGATATGGCATATAATTTAACTTGCCTCAAAAAAATTAATTAAAGTTGGAAAACTAAAAAAACAAGAGAGAGAAAAAAAAATTAGAAAAAATGTATACATATATGAAATGAAAGAGTTTCACAACTCATTCCCAAGACTCACCAATAAAACAATCAATCAGCACTTTTCTAGCTGTAGTGATGTTTATAGTAATAGACCCCTCTCTCATCCTCTGCTCTTCTTCTTAAACACTCTTCCTTCATTTTTCTCTTATATATACTGCACTCACTCAGAGAGAGAGAGAGAGAGAGAGAGAGGACAAGTACCCAGAACAAGAAATCCTTTGAAAGATTAATCTGTGGACTGAAAATCACTTTAAGGAAACAAATATGGGAGGGGGTCATATAGGGTTGTTCATGTATTGTTCTTTCCTTTTTGTTCTGGCTTCTGGGTTATCCACAAACTTGCCTATCATAGCCTTTGAGGATGGTTACACACCTTTGTTTGGGGACAACAATTTGGTCATCCATAGGGATGGGAATTTGGTTCATCTTTCACTTGATGAGAGAACAGGTTTTCATCTATCATCTATGGTTTAATAATCTAAATATGGTGACTTTTTAAGGTTATATAATTTTTCATTTTTTGTTTGTCCTTTCTTCTGGGTTTTGTTTACAGGTTCTGGATTTGTCTCTCATGACCTTTACCTACATGGGTATTTCAGTGCTTCCATTAAGTTGCCTGGGGATTACACTGCTGGAGTTGTGGTTGCTTTTTATGTGAGTAACTAGTTCAAATACATGATCAAGTACAAAATATATGTTTTTTAATTTTAATTTCATATCCTATTTATATTAATTTAATGATCCATCATCATTAGAAAGTTTACATTTTTGTTTCAAGTATAACCATTTTCTAGCATAGTTTGATGAAATTATGGCCATCCATATAGATTTTCATCATTTTTTTTATTTATTATTTTTTTCTCTCTTTTTGTTCATTAATTGAGTTATAGACCAGATAGCTTTTAGTTTCATTTTCTTCAATCTCATAATCACTATTGGAGACAAAAGAATATTTATATTATTTCCCCCCTTTTTTTCACCCTTTTTTCAGCGAAGTTTAATTGTTTGTTTGAATTACTGAAATAAAAACGCCAGTTTATCTGTTTGTCTGTTTGTTTGAAAGAGGTGGGGAAAGTTATTTAATCCTTATGTTTTCTGCCACAGATGTCAAACGGTGACATGTTCCAGAAGAACCATGATGAAATAGACTTTGAGTTTTTGGGAAACATTAGAGGCAAAGACTGGAGGATTCAGACTAATGTTTATGGTAATGGAAGTACCAGCATTGGCAGAGAAGAAAGATTTGGTCTCTGGTTTGATCCTGCTGAGGATTTCCATCAGTACAGTATTCTCTGGACAGATTCCAAGATCATGTAAGCAATCTACCTGAACCCCATGTACCTTATTTGGTTCTCTTTTGATTTTATATACCATATACAACATACCTACATTTTCTTTGTTATAGTAAAAGTTTCTTTATAGGTCCTATTATTGCCTTTTATACTCCAGAAGTCCCTTGCTGTGAGTAATAATTTGATGGCTTTTGTTACTAAATTTGTGGGGTTTTGTTCAAAAATTTCTCTGGTTTTCTTTTACCTTTTAGTACATCCCCAGTTTTATCAAAACCGGTTTTTTCTTGTAATGGGATTACTATGTACAATTTATGAATTGATTACGTACTTAAAATGAATAAAAACCTGATATCATCAGACCTACTTTTTAAATTGTACATATCCTTTTGGAGAGGAACCCACAAGATGAAAACTTGTTTGGATGTGACCCACAGGATAAGTTCTTAGTTGTTGGAATTTTAATAAAATTTATTAGTTTGGAAACTATTTTTGTCTACCCAAATTCATGAATTAATAATCAGTATGTACCTTAGTTACTATAGTTATCAAGTGGGTCTCATGTGTGTCCCTTATATATGGGAGATATGAGGAAATTATTCTGGATATCCTTTTATGTTCTACCATGTGGCTTACTAATTTCTAATGTTAAATTTGATAATTATTTCTAGTTTACTTTGTTTTGTTAATTATTGATTTCCTATGTATTTTCCTTTTTTGCAGATTTTATGTAGATAATGTTCCTATTAGAGAAGTCAAGCGAACAAAATCTATGGGAGGAGATTTCCCCTCAAAGCCAATGACTTTGTATGCTACCATTTGGGATGCATCTGATTGGGCTACTAATGGAGGCAAATACAGAGTAAATTACAAATATGCACCCTTTGTTGCTGAGTTCTCCAACCTTGTCCTTCATGGTTGTGCAGTTGATCCCATTGAGCATGTGGCCAAATGTGACAGTGCTCAAAGTTCTGAGGCAGTTCCTTCTGGGGTAACACCAGTACAAAGAATCAAAATGGATAACTTCAGGAAGAAGCACATGACATACTCTTACTGTTATGACAGAGTCAGATACAAAGTCCCTCCACCTGAGTGTGTGATCAATCCCCAAGAAGCTGAAAGGCTAAGGAAATTTGATCCTGTCACATTTGGTAATGGCCGGCACCACCACCATGGAAAACGACACCATCACAGAGATGCTGATGCTGCTTCATTTTAAATGGTTCCATATGAATATTTTGTTATAAAAGAAATATTTTCATTTTGATTTACCTGGGTTAATAATATATCTTTTACCTTTTTCCCTTTTCCTTTTTCCTATTTCATGTCATTTTGGTGTATAGAGAGAGTGGTTTGGGCATACAAGTCCTTATATGACAGTGTTCTATTATAGTGCATCTTTACAAATTGAATCTCAGGATGATTTGTGTGGTTAGACAAACATAAGGGGTTCAATAAACTATTTATTAGCATGAGATATTTAATGAATGTTAGGTATGAATTATTTCAGTTGGTACTGCTCATCTAATATATAAAACCAACACAAATTGTTTCATATTTAATCTATGGACTGTACTTGAAATATGTTGGATTGTTAGGTAATTTACAAGGTCAGATTTGTCAGCTTCAGGACATGATAAAATGTGGTCGTTTTTTTTTCTATCTAATTGGAATCCGAAGTCAAGGTGAATGTGACAAATGCTGCAACGGCTAAGTTTACTGGTGCTTTCATTAAATACAATAGTGACCAATATTTGTCTCTCATTACTTTTTATTTTTCATGGTTTTGTCTTCTTGGCGTATAGACTGTGTTGGGAATTTGAATGGGGCAGTTGGGGTCTCTGCATATACAACATTGGGAGTGGTTCTGTTTGCAGTGACTCTGTTCCAAAGAAAAATCAAAGTCTTTCATTTTTATCAAAATTAGAAAGAAAAGAAAAAAATACTGCATTTCACTGCTTCTCACCAATCACTAATTGATATGCCTCAAACGAAGTATTTACTGGGAAGTTATGACTGAAGTTATGATTTGTTTATGGTGAGAAAATTACTAATAGTATTTGTATCACAAGAATAAATAAATAAATAACCATAGAAACTTGTGAAACATAATGTACAAATACATTTCAGCTTTAACCCTTTAATTTAAGTTGCACATTGTGTCCGGTTTTTCAATCCTGAAGTCTGATAGAAGCTTATTTGATAATTTTGCTACAAGTAACTAATAAGGGATCCACTCCACTTTTAAAAGCATTTTTGAAAAGAAATAGCACTTGTCTGACAAATATTTGGAAAATTTTTAACTTCATCTTTCATAGCTAACCTGAGTTTATTAAAGACTATAGATTTTTATGACAAATTACACTTCAATAATGGGTGTAAACACCCTTCTCAAAAGAGAGTAGAAATTTTAGATAGATAAGGAGTACTTGGTAGTAATCAGACAAGTCCCCATTTACATGTAACCCTTGTTTTTTTTTTTTTTTACATATATATTTATTTATTTTTATCATATTGCACAACGAAGCAAAATTATAGGAGAAACCAGATTAGATTATGGTAGTTCAGTTGGCGTTAGGAAATTGAGCTAGAAATCTGAACAGGTGAGGACATGTGTTTGATTCTCTCGAGTATAATTTTTAGAAGGAATTTAAAACTTTAATATTAAGATTTACCCCGAATCAAAATAGTCATCAAATAATGAATCAGCTGAAATATTAAAAAAAATAAAAATAAAAATTATAAGAGACGAGAAAAATCTTTATATTAGTAGAAAACGACACTCTGAGTCGAGATTCTGAACAGACCTTTGACTTGGGTTCTGCTTTTGTAACTGATGATTTAATTTATTTAATTTTTCTAAATATTATAACGGATGAATGTTGAAGTTATTTTTTTGGGTTCACATGTTGACTGTGCATGCTGAATATCAAAACATAACTGACACAACCTAAACCCGTCTTCATTGATATTCTCTTCTACAGTTGTGTCAGTAGAAGTTTTTATATTGTGAATTTGGAGAGAAAAAAAAAATCAAAGACAGACATTATTCTATAAACAATGTTTATATTTTGAACTCCACTTTTAAGGGAACACCAAATTAACCCTCAAAGGAATATTTCTCTCACTAAACATAAAAAAGAATGAGAAAAATATATAATTGTAAAAACCATGGGTGTTTTTCATGGATGATGAATAAAAAGTCGGAAATAGAGGAAATGAAGGGGATGTATGAATTGAGGGTTTAAGAAGTCCAAGGAGCTGTTTGATAGGAAGGAAAATTTTAGAATACTAGGAACATGAGATTGGAAATATTACCTTTTCATGTTTGGTACAAGAAAAGTAAAAATTTATCCGGGAATCTTTATAATCCTATATTCTCAATAATATTTTATAATCAATCAAACATAGAATCAGTAATTTTTAGCCAATATTTTTGGTAATACTTTGGCTTTCCAAACAATTTTTTGATAATATTTTTATAAAATTCACTTTCCCACCACATCTTCATAAATTGTGATTCCCAAGTAAAAAATATTTATCCTCTACCAAACGCCCCCAATAGAAAACAGAGGAGGAGAAGGGATTCCATTTTTGTAAAAAGGATTACTTAGCAACGCTTAATTTAAAAAATTATTTTATTTTTTGTCCAAAATGCCTTTTTCTTATTTGAAACATTCCAAATGTGTCCCTAATGGTTCACAACGTCATTTCTAATTCACCAACACATTCCCAATGGTTTTCCATCAAACCTTCGCAATATTTTGTCGTTTCCCAACCGGCCTGATGCGATCACCGGCATCATTTCCAAACCGACCGGAAGCGACCGCTCGTCGGCATCATTTTGACACTGAACCAATGTGTTTCCAGTTACCGTTCAATGTTTATAAATAGAACCAAAGGCTTCTAAAAATTCATTCAATTTTTTGATCCCTTACAGACATTCTGCCAAAATTTTGCTACATTGTTTTATCATTTGTGTGATCTTCCAAGCATTCGATTGTGTTTATCGAGACTCTTGATCAGTAGTGCCACCGCTCTCGAGACGAATCTGTTCTACCTTGAGAGGCAATTGTCCATTGTTCTTAGCTATGTTGCACCGATATCGACTCGGGATACGGACTCAACAAAACACGACACGACACTCCGACATGTTAATTCTAAACAAATGTTAGATTTTGACATGTTATGACACGTTTTGATATTAAATAATATTTTTAATTTATATAGTGTATATTATATTTAATATTCAATAATTTAACAAAAAGAATAAAGTTAAACTTATAATACCCATCAATTTTGCAAAGAAACATAGTTGATAGTTATATTTACAAATTTTTTGTTTACAAACTCTTACAAAATACACTTTGTATACCAGGAAGTACATTCCCAAGTGAGTGTACTCCTGGGAGTTCATAGTGTAGTTTGTAAACAAAAAATTTGTAAATATAACATATCCCAAGAAACATAAGATATCAAAAATATGGGGAGAGTTATATTTACAAATTTTTTGTTTACAAACTACACTATGTACTATAGGGAATAAACTGTTAGGAATGTACTCTCGGGAGTACATAGTGTAATTTGTAAAGTGTGTAAATATAACCTATCACCACAAATATTTATATTAAACCCAATAAAATGATAATGGTAATCCAATGAATCTAATAGTTGGAACTAAAAACGCAATGCGACGTAACCTTTGTGTTGTATATAGATATATATTATTTCCTAAGCAAATGTAAATACTTTGTTCACCTTACTAAGTCTTCATTGGGCTGTTGGCTATTTTATATCTGTGGGCCAAATGTGAATATGTGAGGCCCATTGTGATTTTACCACTCAGCTGAAGATGGACCCTTTGTACATTAAGCAACACATCAAAACGTCAACGTTTTTGTGTGATGGCTTAATAGTACACTAAATCCCTTTGGCCGTGTGATAGGATACTCATTCTGATATTCTGATACTCTCTCTCTCGAAAAAGGAAATGCTCTCTTTTAGGGTTTGTAAGCGTGAGTGTTTTGTGCAAACACTGAGTGAATCATTGTGAATCTGGATATACTACTTTGGAGAATCTTGTTCATCTCAACAAGACGGTTCGATTGATCGGTGGATTTTTCTGTTTGGTGTACAAACTGGTGAAGAGGGTAATCTGCAAGGAAGAACGGTGAAGCTCATGGTGTGTAGCTTGGAAGTTCTTTAAAGGAACAACGCTTCCTTTGGTGCCTTGTGAAGATTGGGAAGTTCTCTTCATCCTTTTGTATTCTTATCTTACCGGTTCTGGGTTCTGTCTCTTGAGTTCTTTAATTCATGATTCTTTGTCTTGTTAATTTCTTGCAATTAGTTTCTCCATATTTTCGATTCTGTATAGCTGTTACTGTATGCTTCAAACTCTGGTTCTTATTTTCTGATCTTGAATAAAGTTCATAATCAGAGGGAGTTTAACCCTCTTTAGGCCCCAGGACGTAGAAAACTCACTAACACTGAGTTTCTGAACCTGTAAAATACTGGAGTATCTTTCTTTATGCTTTCTTTTATACTGCTTGTCATGGTCAGCTGGTTATTGTTTGTGTCAAGTGTTCCCAAAATTACAACAATTGGTATCAGGAGCTTAGGTTCCATTTCTCTTTCTGTCCTTTTCTTTGGTCTGTCATATCTTTCCCCCCCTTCTTCCATTCAGTTTTCTTGCTCGACTGTGGAGGTTCGGCAAGATGGGCATCACTAAGCTGGAGGTGGAGAAATTTGATGGGAAAAGTGATTTCAATATGTGGAAAATTAAAATAAAGGCTGTTTTGGTCCAGCAAAAATGTGAGGATGCAATTGGAGCTGAAAAGGACCTTCCTGAAAACTTGACACCAAAAGAAAGGAAGGACCTGCTATCTTTAGCCCATAGTGTTATAGTTGTCAATATCTCTGATAGTGTACTGCGTAGGGTTAGCAAGATCACTGACCCTCATGAGCTCTGGGTGAAGTTAGAGAGTCTGTACTAAACCAAGTCAGCCCCCAATAAAATTTTCTTGAAGGAAAGATTTTTTTCTTTCAAGATGGACCCTAGTAAGTGTCTAGAGGACAACCTATATGAGTTTAATAGGTTAACTCTACAACTTGAGAATGCAGGGGATGTTGTCTCTGAAGAGGATCAAATTCTGATCGTCTTGAATTCTCTTCCTGACTCCTATAGAGGGGTTAAGGATGCTATAAAATACAGTAAGAGGGATATAACCATTGATGAAATTACTGAGGCCTTGAGGGCTAGAGAAGTTGAAATAATTTCTCATAAAAAGCCCACTGTTGAAGGCCTCTATGTTAAAGGGAAGGGAAATAAAAAGGGAAAGTCAAACAATAAAAGGAAGGGGAGCAACAATGTTGTTCCCCAAGGTAATCAAAGTGTCCAGGGAAACCAAGATAAGAGTAAAGGTCAACCACAAGCCAAGCTTGTGTGCTGGAACTGTCATAAAGAGG